GTTTTACAGGCTTTCTCGGAAGACACAGAGAACTTCTCAGGAGGTGCGAGGGATTCTGAGGAGTCCCGCCGCCTTCTGAGAAGGCCTTCTCCTCCTCGCTTCCCCCCTCGCTCGCCGCCGACTTCCCAAGGCCATGATGGCCCGACCACGACCACGACCACGACAACGACCACGGCGGCGACGTCGAGCACTACCCACGACGGCGACGACGACGACGACGACGGGCGAGGTCGGCGACGGCGGCGCCGCCAACGGCGGCGGCGACGACGACGCCGCTCGCGGCCCGACCGCCGCGGCCGGCCGACAGGGCGCCGCGGGCAGAGCCCGCCGGTGGTTCAAAGACGGGGTCCTGAGGGATGGGGACCCGAGGACGAGGCGCCTCGAACAGCGCACAGCTCCACCCTCGGATCCCTTCCTGGCCTTAGGCCCCCATCCCTCAGGACCCCACCTTGGACCCACCGAGCCCGAGGCGGCGGCGGCCCGGGCCCCTGGGGCGCGCTGCTGGCCGCCGCGGTGGCCCACGAGGACGCCTCGCCGCGGCGGCCAGCGGCGGCCGCTGCGCCGGCGGCGACGCACGGCGGCGGCGGCGGCGCCCGCCGCTGTGCCGTCGGCTGGCCAGCGGCAGCGCCACTGTCGAGGTCGTATCCAGGCCTCCCAGGTGGGGTCGGAGTGGATGGGGTCGGAGGATCGCGCCGCATCGCCGACGCATCGCCGACGCATCGCCGATGCGGCTCGATGTGGGGCCCGATTTGCTTCACCTGGACATCGCCCATGCATCGCCCACGCCGACGAGGCATCGCAGGTGCATCGCCGATACATCGCCGTGTATAGGTGATGCGGCGCGATCCTCCGACCCCATCTACCCCGACCCCATCTAGTTGGCCTCTATCGTAGGGAAGAGGGAATAGGTTACCGATCGCGCTGCTTCTCCCTCGCTTCCGCCCGTTTGGGCCTCGTGGGAGGCCTTGGTCGGCACGGCTGGGTTCGCCTCGAAGTTCTAGTCAGAAGGAGAGGTCCGGGGATTATCGGTACTTTTTGGATTCCCCAGTCGTGATCTTCGTCTCCGTCGGCGCCGTCGGGGCTGGCCTCGTAGTCGTTTGCCCCCGTCGCCTTCGTCGTCGTGGTTGTTGCCGCCATCTGTCGTGCTTGTGGCTGCTGTCATCATCCTCTGGCTCCTGTTTCGGTATATGAGGTGTTGCGTTAAGGTTAGATTCAAACAACCACCCAATGTAATGTGTAAGCTCGTTTTTGTTACATGTTTCCGGCATACGCTTTCTGTCTACAGTGGACGGTTGATGGTGTGTCGGCGCACGCTTTAGCAACATGCGCAAACTTTGTTGTTTCGAAGTTGCATTGTTGGTGTACGTGTTGTGGTTTGCTTTTATTGTTTCAAGTTGCACTGCTACAACGGTGAACTTCTAGTGCACGTTGGGTGCGTTTGCACAGAAAGTGCACCACTACGATGGGGAATGATTAGTTACACTTCTGTGCACCGCGTATACAAAGTGCACGACTGGTACGCGCTCAGTGCGATTCCATTCATAGCGCACAGCTACGATTATGTCAGAGTTAAGAGGCCTGACGGTCTTACACAGGCCCTGGAAGCGTGGCTGAACTAGGGTCCTGCGGTGCGGATTCAGATTGTTGAGTTGTCCTTGTCGCCCCGCGACCCGCCCGCGACCCATCCTCGACCCGCTGGCGACTCACCCGCGCTTTGCGGCATCTCGTCCGCGCAGCACCGCGCGTCTTCTCGCAAAGTGAGCACACGAACGAGGGCGTCAAGTGAGCATACGCACGGCCACAGTAAATGAGCATAGGAACGAACGCCAGAGAAAATATCAGAAAATCAGAGGTTGAGTATTCGACACGGTCCTCCGGGCACAACAACGAACCATAACCAAATTTAAGTGGATGTTCAGGAGGGCCTCTTTGGGAGAACCCACCAATCCGACATGAGCATTTTGGTTGCCGGTGTGGTCGGTTTGGCCGTCTTGGGACGCCAACTCGTCCACAACCAGTACGAAGCTGGTTTCGGGGTTCTGACAGCTTTGGCATGCGCAAGACATTCCCCAGTGTGTATCGTCGATGTGGTTATGGTCGCTGGCTGTCCCGCAAGTCCCTTGACCTCCAACTTTTCAGCGGCGCAAAGGGTCTCATGGCTACATTGGAGCACCCCGTCATCCTTCCCTTCCCGCCCCTCCCTCCGCGCGGAAGTCGAGGAGGGCAGCGGGTTGCGCGGCCGCGATAAGAGAAGGAGGAGGAGTAGGAGGAGGAGGAGGAAGAGGAGGAGGGGCAGGAGGAGGATGATGATGATGAGGAGGAGGAGGAGGAGAAGGAGGAGGAGGATGGAAATGGGGAGGATGGTGATCTTACCGATCCCAGGGAGAGGGGGGAGGGGGAGGGGCAAGCCCCTGCCCGAAGGGAAGAAGGGGGTTTGACGAGGAAACGCCCTGAAACTACTAACGCCCTAAAGGGCTGGTGGGATCCCAAACGGATCAGG